TCAAGTCTTGTTCTGTTTTTTACATTTAGGGTCTGTTTTTGTTGGTTATGGTCTTGTGGAAAGATAATAGTGAAACTCCATTTTCTGTTGATATTTGAATTCCCTAGTTTAAATTTTATTCTAGGATGTACTTGTATTTATTCTTCTTTTTCAAGTCGTCTAAATTATACTGGTTTGAATGTTTACAGAACTGTGAAGCATACATTAAAATATTGGCGGGGCCCAGCCAATATAATGCACAAATTCAAAAAAAAAAAATATTGGCTGTAGATTTCATCATCCTAAGTTTGAGAATTTAAAAGTTGATGAATGTTTAAATTTTATCCTTTTGTCGAATCTTTTGTCCTCCCATTTGTCCTTAAATAATATAATACAACAAATTAATCATTCAAACAATTTAATAATTTACAAATATCAATCTTAATTTTGCTTTTTAATGTACGATCAAGCCTAATATGATATAAGAGCCTGTTAGGTTGATTTATACATAATATAGATCCTTTGCAAAATTGTAATTTGGACCAAGAACAGATCTTGAAAAAATCGCTAAAATCGATAGCTATAATTAACTCAGTCAACATTCTAATTGCTTCCACATTGCAACACACACAATCGATGGATGACATATAAACCCTTATATCAGAACCATGGTTGATAAAAGAAACAACCCAGAAACAGGGCTAAAATCAAACCCTAGATCTCCGTCACAGCCTCATGAAACTTGAGATCTGGACACAAATGCCCTAAATTACAACACTCACAACATGATTGGAATAAAGATCAGAACTTGGAAACGCAATATAGATTCTGATTGTCACAATATTAGAGAGAGAAAGTGAACACAAGGACCTCCCAAATGTAAATCTCAAAAGCGAAGATATATGTGATCTATAGATACAAACAGAGACACAAAATGACGTACCTGGTGGAGGAGCTCTGCCAGATCGGTGGTGGAGAAACTTGAGATCTGGACACAAATGCCCTAAATTACAACACTCACAACATGATTGGAATAAAGATCAGAACTTGGAAACACAATATAGATTCTGATTGTCACAATATTAGAGAGAGAAAGTGAACACGAGGACCTCCCAAATGTAAAGCTCAAAAGCGAAGATATATGTGATCTATAGATACAAACAGAGACACAAAATGACGTACCTGGTGGAGGAGCTCTGCCAGATCGGTGGTGGAAAAGGTTGGATCGCCACTGAAGTCGCCTTTCAGGGAGCTACGCGAAGAGAGAGAAACGATGCTGGAAAATGACCTAAAATCTGATATGCGACCTTAAATACGTGATATCACCGCTACAGTAAAAACAAGGGTTGGTTTGGTTTTGGTTTGAGATCAATTCACCGCTACAGTGCCATATCAGTCTAATATCACCAAAATGTTGATATGGGTTTTGGCCCAAAAATGATAATGTTTTGGCACTGTTAAATACCATATCAGCCCGCTCCAAACATGATATTGGCCCAAAACCAAAATCAAAACACCAAAACAATATCAGATATGGGCCTCCGAACAGGCCCTAAAATTAAGCCTTGGAGTATTTAAAGTTTGCAAACAAGGCGACCCAACTAATCCGTCAGCTCTTTTGCTTTCTCTCTTTCGTTGTTGTCTTGTTGACCATGGAATTCAAGTTCTCATGCCATTCTCGTTTTATATGCCCCAATTAATCATCAAAAATTTCTTTATTAATCTTTTTTTTTGTACAAGAGGATTTGAATTTTTAACCTCTAAGATGTCAAAAGGTAAGTAATAATTAAATATATATTAAAATTTATCTAAAGAAACGTTGAATACAAGATAATATATATTTTTATCAATAAAAATCTAAGTCACATAAAACGGAAGTGAGATTAAATTTAAGAGTAGGAGTGTAAAAGTAAAAGTGCGCTTAGAGGTTGACACCAACAACTGACACCCGTTGAGAAGGATTGTGTTACTTAGATAGAAAGTACAACCTGTTCTTCCCTTTGACAAGTTGAGTGTTCAAAACCAAATGAAGGCAAAAATATATAGTCAGTGTGTGCATTTCATTTTTCTTTTTCTTTTTTATCCTGATAATGAGGTGTGATAAAATGTAATTTCTTATAGTTTATGGGAAGTTTAAAAATATATATATTATAAAGTGAAAAAAGGGTTTGTTTGGTTTGTTTTCAAATCAATTTTCAATGAATTTTAAATATTTAAAAGTAAAAAACATTAGAGCACTACAAATATTGTCTGGCAAATTTAGGTGTTGTTTGATAATTTAGGTATTATTTGATAAAATTGAAAATTAGATATTGAAAATTTTTTGAGTTAATTTTAGTGTTTATTGTGCTATTTGATAAATCAATTCAATATTTAGTTATGAATAAATTAAGTTATTTGTATATATATATTTTAGTTAGTGGGGTTAGGGAAAAGAGAATTCGAACCTAAGACCGGAGGCACTTAAGGCTTGGCCTTTACCACATCTAAGTTCTTTGTAATAAAATGTTGTGAAAAATTAACAGAAACTAGATCAAACACATATACAAGAATACACATATTTTAAGTTCACCCAAAAAATTAGGGTTATGTTCAAATCACTATGTTAAAAAAACTGCACACACTAGTTTAGAATAAAATATATAACCCCGTAATAGGGCAACACAACATGCGAGGAAGATACTAAAATACACCAAAATTGTCAAGAGGTTGGATTCGCTAATGTGTATAGTACTTATCAAGCTCCACACTCACTATCTTTTAAGTGCACAAGATAATTCAATATAAATACCACATAAAGATTGCACCACCTAAAATCATTAAAAATTATATATATATATCAAATAAATTATGGGATTATATATATATAATTTTTTTGAAAGGTAAAACAATTTACTCACACACTGTCTCCAATGGTGGCTTGAACTCATAACCTTCCATTGGGAAGTATCAGTATGGTATCGCTGGGCCATTTGCCATTGAATATACAATACTAAATATGTAACTTTTAAAATTTTCGGATTTATCATTAGTACATAGATGTTAATTATAAACATAGAACCTTGTTGCTACTTGTTTTAATTTTAAGTGAAAAGGCTAATTCACTTAAATTTTGAAGTGAAATTTTTTATTGTTTATTTAAGTGGTATCCATGTAATGAATTATGTTATGAAAATAAGCACTTAATTACACAAATTTATCTTTTAAAAATGCCTCATTTCAATTAAAGAGAATTGGGCCCCTGCGGAAATAACATAAAATATAACACAATATTTCCAAGCCCAAATCTTATAGCCCCAAAGTAAAAAACCCATGGTTAATGGCTTGATTTGGTAGGGTGAAGCTTCTGTTGGTGAGGTGAAACTCAATCAAGACTTGAGATGGTCAAATTAAATTGGTTAACTATGTTTTTATTTTTTACATTGACAAAAATATACACATTCTAAGAAACATAGACACGGAATATGCATATTGGACACTGGTGTGGGATCCTTAATGGGTGTTTGTACTTTAGACCACACACTAATTGCCCACACTAACCCCCGCCGTCATCCTATTTGAAGATATAAATGTTATGCCATTTGTCTAGTTACCCTTTAATAATTACTGTTTAATAAAAATTAAAAATTAAGCAATTAACATTTTAAGTAATAATTATAAATTGATGAATATTTGATAAGTTTTGAATTTACACTGAAATAACTAATAACACTAGAAAAGTTTTTTATTTTAACTAACACTAATGTTACGTTGGTACGTAGGAAATGATTATTCCGATTTTAATGTTTGGTTGCAAATATGAAATGACGTATGAATAAAATGATAATAACCATTTTAGTGTTTGTTGGTGGAAGTCGATGGCGGCGGCAACCGCGGTATGTAGTGGTGGCAATAACGGTGGCGGAAAGCGGTGGTGGTGTCAATAACGGTGGTAAAAAGTGGTGGTGGTGTCAATGACGACGGTGGAAGGTGGTGGTTGCGATGGAGGTGGATGTGGTGGAAGTTAATAAAGATGGTGGTGGTGGTGATGGCACGGTGGGAGTGGTGGAAGTCGGCGACAATGGTGACAATGACAGATAGTGGTGGATATGGTGGTGGTAGAAGACAGCGGTGGTGGAAAGCGGTGATGACGGTTTTTAGACTTAGAATATGAGGGTTTTTTTTAGAACTTAATAATAATAATTATTATTTTTATAAAGAAAATTCACTTTTGAATGGAATGGTCATTTTATAGGTTTAGTTGTAAAGTTGATTTTCAATACAAAAGAATGGTCATTACCATTTTAAATTTCATATGAAACAAGAAATAATTGAAATGTGCATTCCATTGTTATATACCAAATGCAACACAATTTCTTTAAGTAATAACTATGGTATTACAAAACTGTCATGAGAAATACTTAAACCATTTAAATTAAATTATCAAAGGCTATGTAACTTAGTAATATTTACTCTACCTCCTAATACGGTAGATGATGGCTCGAGACAAGGTGGGCACAGATAAGTGTGCAGTTTCTTATTAATGTAAAAAAATATTTAAATTAAAAGAAGAATTATGCGATATAAGATGTGTTCGGGTTATAATCTATAATTTGTGAGGTTTACTCGAAGAGAAGAGTAAGATGCCCGTTACTCAGATTTATAATTGAGCAGGGGCTGTGTGCAAATTTTATCATTTTCAATGTTTGGTTGAGTTAGATGGAATAGAAAAAAGGAGGGATGGATGTACCTTATAAAAAAAAAATATATATAAAAAAAACAGAAAAAAAAAAAAAAAACATGAGACATAAAAAATACTTCCTCCTCTGTTCCCTTACTTGTGACACAAAATAAGTTTTCCAAACCTCCTCTAACACCAAATTCCCGATTTACCATATCTGACATATTGGTGGAAAATTTCGTTCAGAGTATTATAAGGACGGAACTGTCATTTGCAAATAGTACTTGTCATAAAAAAAAAAACATTTGTCTTAATACTCGGAATTTCACCATATAATGTGGCGATAGGGAGTACCACAAAGAAGTAACGCGGAAAAAGAGTGTATTTTGGATTGAAGTCCTTGAAAGACTCCCTTTTCCTTTTCCGCCCCCACCCTCTCCTCTCACTAATAAGAGGAGAGATGGGATGAACCCAACTCACAGAAGCCAAACAACTCAACCCCCAAAACTCCTCGTCTCCGTTCGTTCACTGCCTATCACAGTCATCGATTTCTTCACTCCATCAAAGTCCTAATCAGTACGTTCTTTGCTTATATTCTCTATCGATTTCTATATTCTTTACTTCAACTCTCCGACTCTGACCATCTTTATAAAAAATACCATTTTGAGCATTAGATACTCAAACCCTTTATATATATATACGTGTTTGCGTATGAATATATATATCTATATGTATATACTCCGTTATTGATGCCTTGACGCAATTTAAAATGGCGGTGATGTTTTTATATTCTCAATAAAATGCAATTTATTGATGTTATGCCTAATTCTTTACTTCACCCATGCATCTTTGACCCTCCGTATAGGAAATATTCGAACCCTGCATGTATATATATGTGTGGTTGTAAATTTGTGATTCTGTATCTTCATGTATGTACTCTGTTATTGATATTTTGATGTAATTTAAAATGGTGGGTAACAGTTCATTGCACTATATGCTTCCTGAAAAGAGAGCTGTTGGAGGAGAGGTTGTATCGGACGCAGGAGAAGACACCCAAAACACTGAATCTTTGATCAAGAAGCAAAAGATCGATTGTTTGATCTCGTCGGCGACCGCCACCACCACTACGACGATGGGAGGAAATGTTAACGGCAACGGTAAAGCGCCGATTGTGGTATTTGGTGATGTGAATCCGCCAGATATCGACGAGGATCTGCACAGCCGCCAGCTCGCCGTGTACGGTCGCGAGACTATGAGGCGGCTATTCGCCTCAAACATTCTTATATCGGGGATGCAAGGCCTCGGCACCGAAATTGGTATGCTTAATTCCGTATAATTTATGCCTTTTTGTTCATTTATGGTAGATTAGTGAGATTGCTGATTTGCCATAAAATTAGGTTCTTGATCGTGACCTTTATCGCAAATCAATTTGGTAGGCTTTGTAATACGTGTGCGCATGCTGTGTATAATTTGTTTGGAATATTTATTGCAAAACATTGGTTTTTTTTAATTGAATTCTGTGATGGTTTGTTTTTGTTTTGCAATTGTTACTTGTTACAGTAGCTGGTGTTTCTTTTGTGATGTTCTGGTATTGGAAATGTTGTTTTTATTTTTTATTTTTCAGTTTATGTGAATGATGCTAGTTCTGAGATAAGATAAGGAATGTTAGTTGGTTTCAATAATTTGGGTCACTGGTTTTGATAGAACGGGATTTTTGCACCTGCAGCAAAGAACCTTATTCTTGCTGGTGTTAAGTCTGTGACCTTGCACGACAAAGGAAATGTGGAGTTGTGGGACTTATCTAGCAATTTCATTTTCTCTGAGGATGACGTGGGGAAGAATCGGGCCCTTGCTTCTGTTCAGAAACTGCAAGAACTCAACGACTCTGTGGTCATTTCAAGTTTAACAACTGAACTGGCTAAGGAACAACTATCTGATTTTCAGGTAATGTTTTGTACAGTATTTGTTTTAGCTATCGACTCATTCTCTTTTCTCTTTGTTGGTTTGTGCAAGTTTTAAGTTCCTCTTCCTCAAGTAGTCATTAAGAAGATCATAGAATATCATGCTACGTGTTGCAATTATATTGATCTTGTTGCACACATTTGAATTTATGTAGTCGAGTATACATTTGATGGTATACCCCATCTTAGACATGTTCACATTGCTTTTTATACACGTAGTATTTGTAAAGATATCTCAAATGATTTTATATCATTTAGCAATTTCCATTTGTCAAGTTCCACCCCTAATATACCCAAACCGTATGTGCCACATATTGGTATCTTGTACTCTAGATTCTGCAGGACTTTGTTACTTGGACTCTCCCATTTTGTTCACATATTAGTGTCAACACGCAATGGAATGGGTACGGGTATCGGATATGTGTTTGAAAAAGGAACCAAATCAAACCCCCCAATCCTTCACACGACATGATTAAAAAGAAGAAAAAACTCAAATTTAATTGCAAAGATGAGTTTCTATCTATAAGGTAGATTGAAACACTTTTCTTTTACCACATCCCATTTAATTTAAGTAATAACTGAGTATACTCTTGTAAAACAACATTAACATTCCACCATAATAAAACATATAATTTTTCCAACTCTTGGACACATATCCTCTGTATCCTAAGATTTGGGATTCGAGGAGTTCCGACTCTCAGATACACACCCACACCCGATACACTTATCCAAGTTTGGGTAAGATAGCTGCAGGGATTGATATAGGATCTCCGCCCACAATAATGTTCCCAACAAGGTTTTACAGATTATTTATCATCTACCATTTGATAATAACCAAGGTGCTTTTGCTAATTGATGTAGCTACTCTTTTTGTCAAATAGCTATACAAGATAAATTCAAATGCACCCAATGAAATTAAGTGTTTGACATTGAGGTCAATGCTTGGCAGATCAGACCACTGAGGATGTTGAGATACTCTATGAAAGTTGTGTTCTCATCCATAACAGGACCGTATGGCTGCTTCTTCAGATAAAGTTTGTTTGTCAGATAATTCTCTATGTATTGGCTCTCAAGTTTCTTTTAGTTTCAATCTTTTTAAGGGTAGGAGGGTTAACCATGACAAATAAGCTGGTATTTGGAAATGACTAATTTAGTAATTTCGTTTTCGTTGTTCCTTACTTGTGAAGGAAATAGTTTGTGGAATGAATATGATATACATTACTTGTCAACAAATGATGATTGTTAATGGCTCCGTAAATCTTTCTCATCGTCTTCACGTGTAAGATTCTGAATTACTCCTACCCTTCATTTTCTCCATCTTGTGGGACCTTCAAAACAGTTCTTATCTTATAATAATAGTTGTAATTATAATGAGGCTATTTTGATTTGAAATTGCAGGGGAGAAGATATTGTGTTTTTATTGCATTATGCTGTACACATTTGTTTCTGAATTCTGTGGTTTAAATTAATAAGTGAAATAATGATATTATATATGCATATATAGACATTTCAGTAGCCTACTGATGATGATTGTGCTACATCTTTCATTATTTTCACATTTACTCGAATAAACCATCACTATCATGATTTTCCACCATTTTTAAAACTTTTTTTTTTTTTTTTTGTGGGCATCCCTGTTGCTTGTAACAAAGTTTTAAGCTTCTCAGACTACAGAATAAGTCTCCCCTTGCTTGCTTTGTGCGTGTTATGAATGCTTGCTGACTGAAGCAGGTGTTCACTTTTTAACTTGTATATCTCTCTTTTTTCTTTTTTCTTTTTTCTTTTTTTTAATTTTTATATATGTGTGTGCGTATATATATATATATGTATAGATTTTCTAGGAGTATTGTAGGCTTATTTAGGAACAATGCATATTCTCTTTACATTTGTTCAATTTATTTTCCTGCTTTGTGAACAGTTCTATAATTATTTAAAATTTATGGCTGCAGGCTGTGGTATTCACGGATATAAGCTTAGAGAAAGCAATTGAATTTGATGATTACTGCCATAATCATCAACCTCCAATCGCTTTTATTAAATCTGAAGTACGGGGCCTTTTTGGTAGCGTGTTTTGTGACTTTGGCCCTGAGTTTACAGTTTTTGATGTCGATGGCGAAGATCCTCACACTGGCATTATTGCATCTATTAGCAATGATAACCCCGCTCTTGTAGCATGTGTTGACGATGAGAGGCTAGAGTTTCAGGATGGAGATTTAGTTTTATTCTCAGAAGTCCATGGGATGACAGAATTGAATGATGGGAAACCAAGGAAGGTCAAGAATGCAAGACCCTATTCATTCGCCATTGAAGAGGATACCACAAATTATTCTGTACATCAGAAAGGTGGTATTGTCACACAGGTGAAGCAACCTAAAGTGTTGAACTTTAAGCCATTGCGAGAAGCACTTAAGGATCCTGGTGATTTTCTTCTAAGTGACTTCTCCAAGTTTGATAGACCATCTCTCCTACACTTGGCATTTCAAGCATTGGATAAGTTTATATTGGAGATGGGACGCTTCCCTGTTGCTGGGTCAGAGGAGGATGCTCAGAAACTGATATCTGTAGCCACTAAAATCAACAATAGCTCAGCAGATGGGAAACTTGAAGAGATTGACCAAAAACTTCTTCGGAACTTTGCATTTGGTGCTAGGGCTGTGCTAAATCCCATGGCTGCTATGTTTGGTGGTATTGTTGGACAGGAAGTTGTGAAGGCTTGCTCTGGGAAGTTTCATCCTCTTTTTCAGGTTAGTTATTGTGCATGGAACTGGTTCTAGATGTACTTTTAAGCTAAATACTACTTGTGAGTCTAGTTCAAAATTTGGTCAAGCCTACTTAGAGGCAGTTACTAGACCGAACAAAAACTTTCACTAGATCTGTTATTTGGCCAGTTAAGTGGAACTTCTACTGAATTGAAACTTCTTGATGAGTCACAAGCTTTTCAACCTAGGACTATGTGTCTTTTAATGTTTATTTATGTTTACGGTGTTAACCTAACATACTCATTGGTTTTTGTGGACAGTTTTTCTATTTTGATTCTGTTGAGTCCCTTCCTGCCGAACCCCTGGATCCCAGTGACTTGAAGCCCTTAAACAGTCGCTATGATGCACAGATCTCTGTGTTTGGATCTAAACTTCAGAAAAAACTAGAGGATGCAAAAGTGTTTATTGTGGGATCTGGTGCACTAGGATGTGAGTTCTTGAAAAATGTAGCTCTGATGGGGGTTTGTTGTGGTAAGCAAGGAAAGCTGACAATTACAGATGATGATGTCATCGAGAAGAGCAACTTGAGCAGGCAGTTTCTTTTCCGGGATTGGAACATAGGGCAGGCCAAATCAACAGTTGCTGCTTCAGCTGCCTCTTTGATAAACCATCATCTCCACATTGAAGCCCTTCAAAACCGTGCTAGCCCTGAGACCGAGAATGTGTTTGATGATACATTCTGGGAGAATCTGAGTGTAGTCATTAATGCCCTGGATAATGTAAATGCCCGGCTTTACATTGATCAAAGGTGCTTATATTTTCAGAAACCGCTTCTAGAGTCAGGAACCCTAGGTGCCAAGTGCAACACCCAGATGGTTATCCCTCACTTGACAGAAAACTATGGTGCCTCAAGGGACCCACCAGAGAAACAAGCACCGATGTGCACAGTGCACTCATTCCCTCATAACATTGATCACTGCTTGACGTGGGCTCGATCTGAGTTTGAGGGTTTGCTTGAGAAAACGCCAGCTGAAGTAAATGCCTATTTAACCAGTCCCAGTGAATATACATCTGCGATGAAGAATGCTGGTGATGCACAGGCCCGGCACAATTTGGAACGTGTTCTTGAATGCCTTGAGGAGAGATGTGAAACATTCCAAGACTGCATATTTTGGGCCCGTTCGAAGTACTTTGCTTTAACACTGATTATATATGTGCTCATTTTGCTTTGCTTATTATTTTTTTCCACACAGCTTCTTATGATGTGCTTTTTTTATGGAACTAGGTTTGAAGACTATTTTGCTAACCGTGTGAAGCAGTTAACATTCACGTTTCCCGAGGATGCTGTCACCAGTAGCGGAACACCATTCTGGTCTGCCCCAAAGCGTTTTCCTCGCCCACTGCAGTTTTCTGTTGATGATATCAGTCACCTTCACTTTGTCATGGCGGCATCCGTATTACGAGCGGAGACATTTGGCATCCCAATTCCTGACTGGGTTAAGTCTCCTAAAAAGTTAGCTGATGCAATTAACAAAGTGATTATCCCTGATTTCCAGCCCAAGGAAGATGTAAAAATTGTGACCGATGAGAAGGCCACTAGTCTTTCAACCTCATCCATGGATGATGCTGTAGTCATCAATGAGTTGGTCATGAAATTGGAAAAATACCAGAAACAGCTGCCGCCTGGTTTCAAGATGAATCCAGTTCAGTTTGAGAAGGTTAATTTTATTTCCCTTTTGTTTTTTCCTATTTCTATTTGCCACAACCACAAAGCTGGGGTCTCTTTTAGATTGTCAACATCGCAGATCTTAAGTCAATCTGTTTGGACACCATTCTGTTTGTAACTATATGACGTCCTATTCTTTCTGCTGGTATATAATGAATATTGTTAGCTGCCAAAGGATAATTGCATCATTGGTTCACTGGTGATCTAGGGACATAATTTATTTATTTTTCACCATGGAGATATTGTTGGAAGCCAAGTTTTAGACGATACAACTGTGTTGAGCTTTCATTCCTTGTGAATATGTCACCATAATTGGCATGATGGCTTGCAAAGTGTCATGTAGAAGTGGAATGGTCTAGAACGATATGGTGCTTTGTTGTGCAGGGGGATAGGCAGCGATTTTTTCCTAGTTTTGCATTTTTCTATGTAATTGTCTTGCATGTATCTTTACTGTTGAGAGACCTTTCTTTATAATTCTTTTGAATGTGCAGGATGATGATGCAAATTATCACATGGACCTTATTGCTGGGTTTGCCAACATGAGGGCAAGGAATTATAGCATCCCTGAAGTAGACAAGCTTAAGGCCAAATTTATTGCAGGTAGAATCATCCCAGCAATTGCAACCTCCACTGCTATGGCCACTGGCCTTGTGTGCCTAGAGCTGTACAAAGTTCTTGATGGAGGTCACAAACTGGAGGATTACCGGAACACCTTTGCCAACCTAGCACTCCCTCTGTTCTCCATGGCTGAGCCTGTTCCTCCCAAGTTGATCAAGCACCAGGACATGAGCTGGACCGTTTGGGACAGGTGGATTCTGAGAGAGAATCAAACTTTGAGAGAGCTTCTTCAATGGCTTAAAAACAAGGGGCTTAATGCTTACAGCATCTCCTATGGGAGTTGCTTGCTTTATAACAGCATGTTTCCAAGGCACAAAGATCGGATGGACCGGAAGATGGTGGATCTGGCCAGGGAAGTCGCCAAAGCAGAGTTACCTCCATTCCGGCGTCATCTTGATGTGGTAGTTGCTTGTGAGGACGATGAAGATAATGATATCGATATTCCTCAGGTTTCTATATATTTCCGTTAGATTGTTTGTGCTAATTAGTAAACAAAATCAGCATGCAAGCCATGATGGAACTATTTAGCAGCTGTAGTTCATGATCTTGGTTTCCCATTGATTTATGTGACATGGGAAAATTTTCTTTTTGTTGTAACTTGCCTATAAATTTAAAAGCAACTCTAATTATGCAATACCTAATACCCTGTTCAAGTCTGGCTTTACTTGTTTGTGGCCGAGCCATTTTTTATTATGCTACCTCAAATCTTTCCATTATGCACCTCTTGAAGAACATAATTTCTGATAGGATGTAAGATCTTGAAAACTTAATTGCTGGTCTGTGATGTTGAGTGGTAATGTTGGAACTCTTAGTAGGGGTTGTAAAGTATCCAAGATAATTGCATTTTCCTCTATTATAATATGTGGGGAACTTGTGTGGAAAGGAAATGGATTATTTTTCATAAGTGAATTGCTTTTCTACTTTCTTTCACTTTCTTTTCTTTTCACTTTCCCTTTCTCTTTTTTCTTACCTTATTTTCCAAGAACCAAGTTTCTCATCTAAATCGTGAAATAGAATATGATATCTGGTGTGCTTTTCTTCTGTAGAGTAATAAAGGATTGTCTACTCTTGCTAACATACCAAAATAAAAAATTTCCAAATGGGCTTCACATATCCGCTTTCAACTCATTAAAGGATGGCAATCTCATTTTAAGAGGGAGGTGAGCTACACACTCTGAAACCAAACACTTCGACTAAAAAAACTTACATTGCTCACCTTAATTTGAAATTTGTTTACAACTGAAAGAAGGATCTCTATTATACGAACTCTAATCTTTCATATAATTGACATGATTGTGATTTTCTGTTCTATATGGGGTTGGACCCTCTGCTCTTACCCCAACTTGTAGTGAGTGAATTTAGACACATAGGACTCCCTCTGCGTCTAACCTACAACGTTCGTCTTATTCACAAACAAAGCCTCAATTATAAAAGTCTCTCCACCTCCCCCACCTTTTAAGGAAAAATAGAATTATGGAGACAGTCCTGGTTTTCATGCTTGTGGGCTTGATTCATGCCTTTGTCTTTGTTGATTCATGACATCCTTTGAAAGTTAATGGTGACCCTCCATAAGCAACATAATTTTTTGGAATACTATTTCAAACTTAAGTATGGTGTTATGTCTGCTTGTTAAATTGATCAATGAAAATTTTTGGTACTGAAAAGGATGTTGTTCGCCGTCCTTTGGCTATGGTGATAAGGGGGTGGGAAGAGGGATTTGGCTCCATCCATTGAGCAAGTATTTGTCAAAGTGAACAGTAAAGGTGACTACACAAGTGACATCTCTTGTATCCATTATTAACTTCCTAAAATGTTTTCATAATTCACATTAATCAATCTATACAACCTGAAATATACAGTATCTGTGCATATTAAGTACATATACTGAAAAGAAAGAAATTGTGGTATATGATTTGCCTTCAATTTTTGGCTTCTGTGTTTCCTATATCCAGGTGGATACTCTCACTAATGGGGTTCCGCTCCATTCCAGAACCATTTCATTCGCGTTCTGTCCTTCAATCTTAACCTTGTAGGAACTCTCTCCTTTCACTATCTCTTTGGCTTCCATTAAGTTTGCCATGCTTAGTCTACGACCCTCCAACCCCACTCCTGTCTGAAGATCAGAAAATTCCCTCGTCTCCTCCCACTTTTGAAACCAAGAAAGATTAGAGACATATGGTGCCACAAAGAGACTCTCAATGGCTGTTCTTGCATCTGCAAGATGTATGGGGAAATTCCACTCCATTGATTCACACAGGGCTTGGTAATACGTTACATTCCCGTTGAAGAATGAACTATATCCGGAGCAATTTTTCAATCTCTCTGCAGCATCTCCATCACCAATGGCTATGACTCCAGTAGTTGCAGAATTGGCCAATAATTCCTTGGCTACTCTTAGAAAGTCCGTAACATGACTTCTACTCCTTCTCCTTCCCATATGTGGAAGCCCCACCATGCAGTTAAAGGCTAACCATTCCCTTCCACCACCCCTTGTCTTCATCTTCTTTATCTCACTCACCAAATCCTCAATACCCATCTCCTCAACCCTTAACTGTGAACCAAAAGACCTTGCATGATCACAGAGCCTCTTCCTGGTCTCCTCAAATCTCCACTGTGAAGGAGAACAACTATAATCCTCCTCCCATGACTTTATCGATGTCAATCTAACTGCCTTTCCTAGCCGCCCAAGGGTTTCAATCATTGGAGGCCACTGAATCCCTTCTCCCATATCAAAGTCCACTATGTGGACTGTCTCTGCATCACCTGGTATAGCTTCAAGGATGGCTGAGTTTGCTGCAAAGTGAGCAAACCTGCCATATGGGAATATTTGGTAGAACGCCATGAAAGCTGCCTCAAAGTTCTTGCTTGACTCCTCTTTTAGGTAGTCGCCTTCCTTCTCTGTGGATTGGAATAAGTTAAATGCAAGACGTTCCAGCGTTTCACCAATTGGGTTAATTTTCTCGCCTATGGATTTTGCAATCACCTCCATGAGCTCTCTCTGTTCCATCTCCATGGCTTCTCCATATGCCTGAAGCAGATGATGGATGCTCAATTGGTTATCAATTTCCATGTCATCTGCTGGCAGTACTAATGAGAGGTTCTCCGATGGTATGACTGTCGAGGCCTCACTAGATTTCATTGACAGGCCAGGACTCCACACATCTTCTCCTTCAACAGACAGTTGTGAAGGAAAACTTGCTTCACCCTCGCTTTCACCCAACCAACTACAAATATCTTCAATTTGATTTAAAATAGGCTCAAACCCTTCCATATCATGTGCAATATTCTCCATAGATTGCAGTTCATCATTTGAAATTGGAAATTTGACAAACTCATTGGAGAACATGGGTTGAAAAAACAGGTCTGAGGAAATCCCAGAGGAGTCCTCAGTTGTGGTGAATGAGGGAGAGAATTCATGATCACCCACATGGCCATCCATCTGCAGATCATACAGTCCAACTTGATCAGAAGTTGACTCCATAATGTTGTAGAATGGCCATGATGGCTGAAAAAGTTCAGTTTGCATCATTGTTTTTTTTTGAGGATATCTACAGGGCAGGAAGACTTGTGAGTTTTGATGATAGGTCTTGCTGGTGTGTGTATTTATATATAACTGGTGAACAATGTTGATACAAAGTTTAAATTAAAATATTAGAGGAAATAGAGAATTAAAATATTAGAGGAAATAGAGAGAGAAGGAAGCTACCCAATGACTCTCAACATGGTTTCTACAGAGTTTTACCCCCAACAAGTTCCCTGCTGAGTCCTCTTCCTTTTCTTGGAGTCTTCCTGGAAGTTGGTAAGCTGTATACATTCTCTTTATTTTAATATGTTTTAATCAAGAGATTAGATAACTATTCATGTCTTTTCAAAATAATAACCTTTCAATGAGAAATTTGGGCCCCACAAGTCTTCTTCTTGGTGAAGTAACTTCTTATACAATGACACCTGGCCTCTGGGTGGGCATTCTGATTGGTAATCCAATAACTTCCAACAGTAAAGGACAACCAAATTGTATTGCATCACATTCAATCTTTTTCTTCAAGTCCCTGTTGATGTCATCAAGATCAAAAACTGGATTAGTATTCAACACTCCTTGATTTGTTAGTTGTTTCATACTTTTAGCTCTCATTTGGTTTATAGTCCTTGTTCTTTTGTTGTTACCTATGTATTTGGTTGTGTTGGAAGTGGGGAAAGTTGGGGTGGTCTAATATGGATATTGTCTTACCGACTTGTTAAATTGACTGGAAAATTTCCTGATTTAATTTTTGTTTTTAACTCTGTCCTTGCGGTGTTTAGTGTCATTGTTATACACCTTGGTAATTCAAGGATAAGACCAGATTTGCATAATTGCATTAGGTAATATAACTTTGTGGAGAAATTTTGTCAATAGTCTTTTGAACATGAATACTAAGAATAAGAATGGTGAAATTGTTACATGTAGATGACCTAAAATAGTTAGGGACAAAGCTGATTGAATTATAGGAATTTTTTGTTTTTCAAACTACCCTTAATATGATGAACTTGTATCTACAATCATACAGATCTGCTTAAACAGTCATTTTCTCATAAGAAAATGAAGTTCATCATAGTTTGTGCCATTTTAGTTGGTGTTCTTAATTAAAAGTTACTCATGCTGTAAATATTTGTTTGTATCATTTTTTAATCATTGGCACCAAGTCATTTTATTGATAAAGAAGTCTTAGATTAAACAGTTTGACATAACCTCCTGCATATTATAATGTTTTGAACTTTTGTCATTGTGTGCTCTATACATGTTTATTTATTCACATATAATTAAGGAGTATTGCATTACATGCAATCTTTTTCTCCAAGTCCCTGTTGATGTTTTCATCAAGATAAAAAACCAGATTAGTATTCAACATTCCTTGACTTGTTAGTTGTTTCATACTTTTAGCCCTAAATTGGTTTATATTCCTTATTCTTTTGTTGTTATCTATATTTTTAGTTGTGTTGGAAGCGAGGAATGTTGGCTCATTGTTGGGGTGGCCTAATATGGATATTCTCTTACCGACTTATTAAATTGACTGGAAAATTCCCTTATTATTGTTATTTTTTAAAACTCGGTCCTTCTTGTGTTTACTGTTTAGTTTCGTTCTTATACAACTTGGAAATTCAAGAATAGGTTGAGGTTTGCATTAGGTAACTGACAGTCTGACAGTTTGTGAAGAATTTTGACTAGACTTTTTTGAACATGAATACCAAGAATAAGAATGGTGAACTTGATACATGTAGATGATCTAAAGTAGTTAGGACAATGCTGTTTGAATTAGGAATTTTTTGTTTTTCAATATGAACTTGTATCTATAGTCATACAGATCTGATTGAACGGTAGTTTGATCATAAGAAAATGAAGGTTATCCCTCAACCAGTTTGTGCCATTTCAGTTGGTGTCCTTAATTAAAAGTGACTCATGTTGTAGAGTGCGTGGGTTAAAGTAGTTGACATAAATATTTGTTTGTATCATTTTTTAATCATTGGCACCAACTCAGTTGATTGATAATGAAGTCTTAGATTAAACAGTTTGACACAACCTCCTACATATGATAATGTTTTAAACTTTTGTCATTGTGTGCCCTATACATGTTTATTTATTCACATATAATTAAGGAGTATTGCATCAAGATCAAAAACCAGATTAGTATTCAACACTCCTTGACTTGTTAGTTGTTTCATACTTTTAGCCCTAAATTGGTTTACAGTCCTTATTCTTTTGTTGTTTTCTATATATTTGGTTGTGTTGGAAGTGAGGAATGCTGGGGTGGCCTAATATGGATATTCTCTTACGGACTAATTAAATTGACTGGAAAATTTCCTGATTTAATTTTTGTTTTTAACTCGGTCCTTGCTGTGTTTAGTTTCTTTCTTGTATAACTTGGAAATTGAAGAATAGGACGAGGTTTGCATTAGGTAACTGAGAGTTTGTGAAGAATTTTGACCAGACTTTTTTGAACATGAATACTAAGAATAAGAATGGTGAACTCGATACATGTAGGTGAACTAAAATAGTTAGGACAACATCGTTTGAAATAGGAATTTTTTGTTTTTCAATATGAACTTGTAGCTATAGTCATACAGATCTGATTGAACAGTAATTTGCTCATAAGAAAATGAAGATTATCTCTTAACTAGTTTGAGCCATTTCAGTTGGTGTTCTTAATTAGAAGTGACTCATGTTGTAGAATTTGTGGGTTAAAGGAGTTGATATAAATATTTGGTTGTATCATTTTTAAATCCTTGCAACCAAGTGGGTTGATTGATAAAGAAGTCTTAGATTAAACGACATAACCTCCTACGTATTATAATGTTTTAAACTTTTGTCATTGTGTGCCTATACATGTTTATTTATTTACATTTAAGGAGTATTGTATTTATTTTGCAGTGTTCTTATTTGCAATTTATTAAGTCAATTGAACGTATATGAATTTCGTCATATCATATTCAGAACCTAATACAATAATGTTTTTCTAGGTAGGTGAATCCAGTATAATCTTTCAATTATTTATTTGTATCATCATTTTTTGGATCATTACCATAATGACCTCACCATGCTAAACCTAAATCAAACCAAATTTTATTAGATTTGCCATGTCAGACCTTAAGTGATGGTGATGTCCAAGTTATTTGTATAATCGTTGATGACTGCTCTTATGGTTTGTTGAAGTCCAGAAAATTGGATCTCCCTTATCTTTAGTAATATAGTTAATGTAGCATTAATCTGTCATCTTATGCTAAATGGGTAATTTACTATGAAGTGTGTTGACTGTCTATTGCTGATGGATATGACAAATATTGGGTGTCTTAGTTTCTCTTTCCACAGTATGATTTCAATCAATGAATGAAATGTGTAGCTTTTATGTAATGTTATCTGCATTTGATGATGGTTTTTGGTAGCTTTAGTTCTACAATTTATTTGATTGCCACTGACAAATATCACTGACCTTCACTGAGGGCGTGACACTAGCTACTGGTTCATTTTACATTGGACTGCAGAATGTGGCACACTGTAAGGGTTCCGGGAGCATCCTCTGTGAGAACCCCATGGTGACACAGCTTTAGCTGTACACTTTTTCCATGTCCACCTCACTTCAGTTGAAAACTGTTTAACCCATTGCTTAGTCACACTATTGTTTTCAAAGAATATATTTAATCATTTGTAATGGCACTGGATCTGATTTAATCTCCATTTTAGTCATTTTTAGACCATCTCATACACATTTATTTGGGAGGAGAATACCTTTTTACATTAAGATATTTTATCTTACTTTATGCAGAGTTAGTGAACTATTGAAACAATCATATACAGAATTAGTGAACCATTTCAACTCTCCTGATACTTCTTTGGTATGCATTGCTAATTGTAAGATATTTTATTTGCTGTGTCACTGCTACAGGGGATTTTATATTATGATCTAATTAGGGGCCATAAAATGGGATCTCTGGTTCATTCTATATTTTTACTGTATTCTTAATTATCAACCTATGCTGTTTTATCCATGAATCTGTTAAAATGTAGTAAAAACTGTGTGTTTTTGGCTTCATGTCACCATAGGGTCATGCTCATTGATTGGTATAAGGAGTCAAGGATCTGCACGACTGATTTGAAGAGTTTTCTAAATTAATTTAATCGTCAATGCTCCTGGATAACATTTTATATTATTTATCTTGCTTTTGAGAGCAAAATTGCTAGCTATAAGGTCTATCCCTAAATCACTATATGTGTGGAATATGGAATATAGGTTATCGGATAAACCCATTTGACTGAACAATTACTTGCATCACCCTTTAGTTCGAACCATTTCGGCCGGTATTCTTAATTAATGTCTAATTGTTCATTTCATCTATATTTTGGTATAAGAATAATATGTTGTGTATCATTTTGTAATTGTTAGCCGTCTAGCACCAAACCGATTTGGTTAATATAATATAAAAGAAGTCTTAAAACAAAGTGTTTGACGTGACTCCCTGCAAATTAGCAATGTTTTTAACTTGTCTTTTTCTGTCTAAATATTTTATTGTTTGCTTTTATGTGTGTATATGTTTCTTAACTTAATTTATTCCCGCATAAGGATTTTTAAATTCATTTTATAGGACTCTTTAACATTTTATTAACCCACTCCACGTATTCATGTTTTTCTAAATTCTTATTTAGTATCCAATGCAATTTTTTATTTTTTTTCGGTTGGTGAATCCAATGCAATCTGTAAATTAATTAATTAATTAATATTTTTTTGGATATTATGACAATGATACGAATTACAACTCTTGATGGGGATAATTGAATTAAACTTGTTGGTATTTGAATGTAAGGGAAGAAATTGTTGTCTGGTTAGGTTTGATTCATGTGCTCTACAACAATTGTGTGCTAAAATATTTTTCATGCTTGTTTTTGATTTAAAATAAGTGTTTTTGAAAGCAACTTATTGCAGGAAGTGTAGAGATTTTATTGCAATGTAAATA